ATTTTATTTATATTTAAAATTTCTATGAGGCTATTGTACTTGGAAATCTATATTTTTCGATTTGAATACTAACCAAAAAAATAAAATTACGTTATAATATAACTGTACACTACATTGTCGTGTCACTGCAACGATTGAATTATATGAAAGTGTTTTTAGTTAGTCATAACTCGTAATTTATAATACAAAATATACTGAACATTTGAAACATTGTATGTTATCAGGGTCGGGTATTAAAAAAGAATATATACTGTTTGTACTAATACCGACACTGCTGCAGGAAGGACAAAACGCATTCCAAGAAAGATTGTGGTCGAGCCAACTCTATTATAATATTTATTTATATAGATCGCGTTTGTTTTTTACAATAAAGATTTTTTATTATATTTTTTTATGTTAGTGAAATTGATTTTAATACAAACAATAACATAATATTATAATAATTCATTATGTGTGTTATAAAATCTTAAATACGAATTCGCTATCTATGTCCTCAATGTAAGATACGACCACCCGAGTGTAATTTTATTCTACCCACCCATTTTAGTTTTATATTTTTTTTATAAATACTAAATATTTAACTTTTCAATGAAAATAAATAATTCGATTCCAAATTAGTTAATGGTGAATTATTAGTACATTAGTTATATAATCAGACTTTTTTTATCGTCATAAAATGCTAGTTGTTTAATCTTAGTATAGGTATTTAATTGACGATTTTGCAATATGCGATTCTTATGCATAAATTGATTTAGTACGTGCGTCGCAATTAATTTAAAAACAATTKTAAAGTGTGTGAAGAACCTTCAACTGTTGACAACCATCATTAAATCTTGTATTTTGTCGACAATATTTACCAGCGATATTTATGTGTGATATAATAAAAATACATAAATCTTGTTTAGACTTGTGTGCGTATTATAATATCTTAGYAGGTACATTTTCTTCTTTCTGTGTGATTATTTTATTGATGTGCCTACCGTTGAATTAGTGATTTCTAATTAAAATTACTAACGGCCTACGGGCCATATGTTTATAAGTCAAAGGTTTGTGKGGAAAACACCTGTTTTTAGTCATCCTTAATACTAAGTCCAAAATAAATGATGACAACATTTATTACTTCTAAGGATTAAAATTATTATAATAAAGGTGATTCATACTAAGTGTTACAAATATGTGCATATTGATTTTTTATAATTTTATTTTTATTTGTTCGTATGCCATTTTATTTTAAAATTTGTTGAATGGTTTCTTGCGGGCCACACTGAAAGGGTTCGCGAATCACGATGTTTGAGATTGCTAGTTGAATAATTGTTAAGTTATCAAAATTTGGCTGTGATTTAATTTAATTATATATCAGAATTATACATTTTATGACGGAAAGTATGTAATTGAGATGTCGTATAAACCGTGTATGGTTTCCGGTAGTGATGATAAAAACATATATTTATTAAGCCCGAGTTGAATTCCACCATCAGGTGCATTCTACTGTCCTAGATGTAGTAAATGCAATACGACCTTATCSGTATACAATATTGCATATACTAATTATTTGAACAATCGCAAAAATAGATTACCCAATATACAATTTTATCAATAACATACCACCTAAATTTCCTAATTACAATCATGGCAAATAACCGACAATAACTGATATAAGAGGTATAATATATGAACAATAAAAATATGGTAATCGTAACGATGATAAATCGATATTTTCGATATCGAATATAATATGATATAAAATATTAATGGTCTGATGTTTATTCTTACTTCAGCTCTGGAGCTCGTCGGACCAAACTATAGGTCGTTCATTACCGTGATGACGTGCATGTTTTACACACTCGGTCTGGTGTTGTTGTCCGGCGTTACGTACTACGTGCGAAATTGGGTGTACTTGGCGTTGGTGACATCCACCCCGTTTACCCTGTACTTTATTTACTGGTGGCAAGTTAAAATATTCATTATTGTGGTCGAACACGGACACTGTTGCTTCCTCATATGGAATGCGCGTGTCCCGTGTGTATAATACACGTCAAATATGATTTTGCGTTACAGGTTCCTACCGGAATCGCCAAGATGGTTGCTGGCCAAAGGTCGGATCGAAGAGGCGTTGAAAATACTCGAAACCCTTGCCAGGATCAACGGGACCGTGCTCCCAGATTCGTTCAAAAAGAAGCTGAAGGTACGAAGGCATATATAGTCTGTTTTTCTATAACCATATTTTGATTGGCGATTTATACGTCGAAATATTTGTGGTCTTTTACATAATATGGTACCTACTATGTTAGTGTAAACAGAAAAATAGTAGCACACTACCATATTGTAATATATGCAATAAATAATAATAATAATAACAATAATACAAATAATACAAAAATAGTTTTTATTTGACACAAGTAAAACGCAAAATATTCGATACGTTAAATATTTTAATTAAATTATT